AACACTTGAAAGGTCTATTTGGTGAACCCAGTATTTCCAAATGACCAATGCGTGATATTACAAAACCATGCGTATAAGTATATCCATACAAAATGCAAGGGCCAATCACTTTGCATGAAAGTACTCATATTAATCCAGATCAATGGATTATAATAAGGATTCCACAATGTAACTTACCCTTAAGAAACTTCTACTTGATGAGTTTTGGAGTGGTATCAAAGAATAATATCCCCCAATTACCTGAAAAGTCTATTTAAATGCTCTTCTCTTTACTGTGTACATAACCGTGTGAGATTGTCTTCACAGACTTAAACTAAAACAACATATAGCAAGAAACTAAATGCAAGAATACATATGAGATTCCAGGCTTTTCTTATTAAGTCAGATACTAAAGAGATTTGCAAAAATGTAAAACAATGCCACTCTTACTACTATTTCTTTTTCTAACAGTTATTTTTCACGAATATGTTATTTATGTTAACATATAATAGCTTTATTATTGCTATTTTTAAATGACTAATACATATTTTAACATTTTAAACTTTAAGTGCAGTAATAATTGATAATCCCCATAAACAAAAACTCTGAGATCTTTAATAACTAAGAATCCAAAGGGACCATGAGACTCATACATTTGCGTACTGCTGGGTCAATAGCAACCCCTTTGTTTTACTAAAAGGTAAATCTAATAAGCTAATATTGGAGATGCAACGCAGTGCTAAAAAAAATACTCTTTTAATCCAAAAGAGAAAAAAATTTGAAAAGAAATATCAATTTGAAAAGAAATATCAAGATGGTACATTTTAAGCCCAATCTTATCAATAATGACATGAAATGACACACCATTTTAAAAGCAGAGAGTATCAGACTGTCTATAAAAGCAAGACCCAACTACATGCTGTCTACAAGAAATTTACTTTAAATATAAAGACAGATAAAAAATAAAAGTATGAAAAATGAAATGTCATGCAAACATTAATTGAAAGCAAGCTCTAGTGACTAAATAAAAGTCAGACAAAAACTCCATTAAAAAAATACATGCCGGGCTCGGTGGCTCAGCCTGTAATCCCGTGCCTTTAGGAGGCTGAGGAGAGTGGACTGCCTGAGCCCGCGGGTTCAAGACTCGCCTGGGCAGCAAGACCTCATCTCTACAATAAATCAAAGAATCAGCCGGGCGTGGTAGCGCATGCCTATAATTCCAGCTACTTGGAAGGCTGAGGCGGAAGGATCGCCGGAGCCCAGCAGGTCGAGGCTGCGGTGGCCGGGAGCGGCCACTGCACTCCAGTCTGGACGACAGAGTGAGACTCCAACTCAAAAAAAAAAAAAAATACATTATGGGGGCAGAAGACATTACATTGATGGTAAAGGGGCTAATTCACAAGACAATATCAAAATAAAGTCTAAAAAAATGAAACAAAAACTGACAGAAATAAAAAGAAAAATAATCTTTAATTACTCCTCTCTCAGTAAGTGATAAAAAAGTAGAAGCCAAAATATATGGCTTAATGCTATCATCTAACATGACATAAACTGGCATAAACTTGTAAGCCTCAAGAAATCAAACAACTTGAACAAAAGGTGAACAAAAGACCTGAACGACAGCTCATTAAAGAAGATATACAGATGGCAAGCAAGCACACAAAAAGATGTTCAACATCACATATCATATATCTTCTCTTATGATATGATCCAGCAATCATATCCCTTAGTATTTATGAAATGAACTGAAAATATATAACCACATCAAAACTTACACACGGAGGTTTATAGAAGCCTTATGCACAATTGCCAAAACTTGGAAGCAACCAAGATGTTCAGGAGCAACCAGCAGATGAATGGATAAACAGACAACAGAACAGTATTCAGTGCTTTAAAAAAATGAGCTATTAAGTCATGGAGAAAACTTCAATGCATATTACTAAGTGAAAGGAACCAATATGAAAAGGCTACATACATATTGTCTGGTTCCAACTACAAAACATTCTGGAGAAGGCAAAACTATGGAGACTAAAAAGATCCATGGCTGCCAGAGATTGACTATACAGGAGAGAGGGATGACTATACAGATCACAATTCTTAGGGTAGTGAAACTGTTAAAAGACAATGCTACAATGGTAGATACATGTCATTAAACATTTTTCCAAACTCACAGAATGTACAACACCAAGAGTGAATGCTTTTTTTAAACCATGGACTTTGGGTAATGATGTGTCAATGTAGGTTCATCGGTTTAATGAACAAACCACCGTGGTGCAGGGGACAGGGATTGTATGAAGCTTTCTGTACTTTCTGCTCAATTTTGTTATGAACCTAAAACTGCTCTAAAAATAAGAGTATTAATTTAAATATGTATCTATATGTACATATGTATGTATATACACACACACACATGCATCAGCAGATCTAATCCAGCAATATACAAAATTAACTGATATGACAATTGTCATATCCCTGGAATACAAAGTTGGTTTAACAAACAAAAACCAACTTATACAACTTAATCATTATTCAGAAAAATGGCCAAAAAAGACTGCACCTGAGTTTTGCCTCATCTGAATGGACCAAAAGCTAAATGTATAGTGCCATCACATACCTGAGAGACATAAATCAAATCTGAATGATAATATCATCTTAGCCTTCAAATTGCTTTCTATATATGATGTTTCAAATATTATATGCTTGCAATATTACACTCAGCACTCAAGCAAAGGGAACTAGGCACACAAAGAGTTATCTGCTAGCAAAAACTAGCAGAAACAATATTCTATATAAACAGACCTAAACAATTTCCAGACATTGGAATTTCTAGACATATGAAACAACTATACTTACTATGTTCAAGGAGATAAAGGCCAAGCTTGAAATTTCAGCAAGGAACTGTAAACTGTAAGAAGCGATATAGCAGATTTGAGTATGCATTCATTGAAATGAATGTCAGAAAATCTTAAAGAAGTAATCTAAGATCAATTCAAGAATTTTGTTCTTCAAATTCTGCTACAGAAAAGACCTAGAGTTTGCTAATATCAGGTCACACACTGAGTTGGTAGCAGAATGCATTCTACCACATTTTGATGTCTTGGGTTCTGTAGCTAAAGGGATCTACCAAAAAGAAGGTGTCCAGGGTGGCAATATGTGAAAAGATCAGACTGGGTTCAAAGGGAGGGTGGCAGGAGACCTTAAAAAGATTCTTAAAGACATAAATTATGAGGACTGGGAAGAAGAAGGAATAGTAGAAGTTTCTCTTCCAAAGACAAGAAGAAAGCCAAAAAAAGCCTGATATATACACTGATATATACATTAACTGACTTGATTTTGAGATTCAGTGGACAGTGGGAACACTCCATTTACAGTGGCTAGCACTAAACCACATTATAAGTAAATACTTCTATTTCTATATGCTGTGGACCATTTATAGAGAGCAGAATAATGTTACAGAAACAAAAGAAACTCCCCATATGAACATCTCTACCACCTCAAGACCATGTCTTCCCAAGGTAAATGGAATCTCTTATACAACTTGATCCAAGAGCCAAGGAAACCAATATGCTTGGGGTAGAAAGGATTTAGCCAATTATAATGCCCTTATTAGTGCTCAATTTTATTTCAGTTCTATGAATTAGGAGACGTAAAAACTATCCCATATTTCAAGCTTAAATGAAACCTTGGGGCAAAACATTTCTTGACTCTCCAGCATATAGGAGTGCCTTAGTAAACCATTTTGGCAAAGTTATTAGCACAATTTTGTTTGTTCAGTCTGAAGCCTTACATAACATACAAGTCTGAGATAAAGACAGAATGAATAAAACTTTTAACATAGCTTTCATACTTCAACTATATTCATGTAACTAAATAATAGGTACTCTGAGTATTTTCAACTGTAAACTTTTCCAAGTCTCTGTTTCTGACAAAAGAAAAAAATTTATCTCAAAATTCTACCCTAATTTGTGAGAGCTTGTTTTTATTCTTCTAATTTTCTTTAACTAATTTAAGCTTCTCTCGAGACTCATATGCCTTCCCTCTCCCAAAAACACAGGCCCAGAAATGAGTTCTCTCAATTTTATGACTACACAAATTAATTTTTAAGAAATCCATTTATTCACACAAAGGAAATATATAACAATGTATCAAATACGAATAAAAAACATACATGTAACTCTACCTTTTCAAAGTGACAACAAATAACATAAATAAAGATGACAATAAAGCATGCAAGGGTGCTTCTTTTCAAGAATAAATTCTAAACATAGTCCAGCCTCTCTACAACTTAACAATGGTGAAAGAAGTACTTTATAGTATTTAGCCAAATTTTACAGCAATGGCAAGTATAATTAAAACCAATGAATCTACTTCCAAATGTCTTAGTACTACACTCACCAGTAAAGTTATTAACCAAAATTTCTCTCTTACACATTCAAGGTATTATACATTGAATTATTGCTCACAAAGCACAGATATGCTAGTTCTTTTCACAATATTATTTTTCCTATAGGAAAAAATTTCAAAAGCAAAGGCTTAACTGAGGAGAGCGACCTCTTCTACTTTTAGATAACATAAAGCTCTCAAATTAAGAAATCAGTATCTTAAAACTCTTTTTCCTTGCCTGTCAAAAGTTATGTGAAAGTGATTCACCCACTCAACTAAAACTTCACTCAGAAAATGGCATGAGTGTTGACTAAAAATTTGAGCTATCATCTAAGTACTTTAATCTCATTTTCAAAGCAGATGTCAAAGCAGATACAAAGCCTAAAAAAAAAGAATCACTTTCTGTTGAAAGATTGTCAATTTGACATAGTTTATATTTAATCTAGTATGTAACTGTATCACAACTATATATAACATAGCTCATTTGAAATCATTCTCACTTATAGTGTGGAGTTCATAAGACTATTTAGCTGCATTCCAACTTTGCCTACTAATTTTGAAAAACCAAAAACCCAATTCACTAACCATAACTGACATACTATTTATAATTAATAGATGTAATTTTTAACATGGCTCACCAACTGGTTCAAAAGGCCACAAGCAGGAATTTCACATCTGCAAGAGAACACATGTGATAATCCTCAAAAAGTAATACTACGAATATTCTTGTGATTTGGAAATTGATCAAGTTAAATGTCAAACTTCAGTCAGCTTGACTTTGCTATTATCCTAAAATGTTTATGCATCCTTACTGTTAATGTGGAAAGCAGTAAAACTGTCACAATTTTAATAAAAGGTACTATAGAAATAAATTTTTTAAAAAAACATTTAACCTGTAGTTTTACTTATGAACAGGTATCTCTGAAAAGCTATAGGTACAAAACATGCAAAGGCAAATTTCATAAGTATATGTATATAAATATATGTGGTGATATTTTGTTCTTGAAATAAGTTGCAGAAAAACATAATACCATATATGCAAAATATATGTGAAAATAATTGTGTTTTCCACACATAAAAAGAATAATTTTTTTTTTTTTTTTTGAGTTGGAGTCTCACTCTGTCACCCAGACTGGAGTGCAGTGGCCGCTCCCAGCCACCGCAGCCTCGACCTGCTGGGCTCCAGCGATCCTTCCGCCTCAGCCTTCCAACTAGCTGGAACTACAGGCGCGCGCTACCACGCCCGGCTAATTTTGACTTATTGTAGAGATGAGGTCTCGCCAAGTTGCCCAGGCAGTTCTCAAACCCGCGGGCTCAGGCAATTCACTCACCTCAGCCTCCCAAGGCACGGGATTACAGGCTGAGCCACCAAGCCCGGCTAATAAATTTTTAAAAGCCTAAAAATATGAAGGGAAAGTGAAATGAGATATATCATTCTACAATATCTTATATTTTATAAAGAAACTATAAGCATGTGTTATTTGTGTAATTAATAATACAGAAAAAAGTTTAAATCAAATCTTACTTTTCCTTACTGACTTAGTGTATAATCTTACAGAGGCCTTTCCATTAAAAAAAAGTCTGAGGTCGGGCTCAGTGGCTCAGCCTGTAATCCCAGCACTTTGGGAGGCCGAGGCACGTGGACTGCCTGAGCCCGCAGGTTCAAGACCCGCCCGGGCAACTTGGTGAGACCGTGTGTCTACAATAAATAAAAAATAAGCTGGGCAGAGTAGCGCACGCCTGTAGTTCCAACTACTTGGAAGGCTGGGGTAGAAGGATCCCTGGAGCCCAGCAGGTCGAGGATGCGGTGGCCGGGAACGTGCCACTGCACTCCAGTCTCGGTGACAGAGTGAGACTCCAACTCAAAACAAAACAAAACAAAAAAAAGTCTGTCCCAATAACGTAATTATACTCATACTTAAAAACATGGCAACTCAGCAGGGCACAGTGGTGCATGCCTGCAGTCCCAGATACTCTGAATACTGAGATAGAAGGATCACTTCTGCCCAGGAGTCTGAAGCTAATCTGGCCAACAGCAAGACCCCATCTCTAAAAAAAAATTTTTTTAATTAAAAAAAATATGGTAGGCAACCCCTTCAGGTCCCCTCCCACTGTGGGAGTTTTTCTGTCCTCTCAATAAATCCTGCTTTCTAAAAAAAAAAAAAAAAAAAAAAAGGCAACTCCTTTCTGAATACCTGATTTTTTTTAATTATTAGCCAGTGAAATACCACTACTACTCTAATTTCCTAATCAATCTTTCTGCTTTACCATTCAAAAATCAGGAAAGGCTGGACACAATAGCTCACACCTGTAATCCCAGCACTTCTGGGAGGCCAAGGCAAAAGGAATGCTTGAGCCCAGGAGTTCAGGACCAGCCTAGACAAAATAGTGAGATTTTGTCTCTACAAAAAAATCAAAAAATTAACTGGGCATGGTGGTGTGTGCCTGTAGTCCCAGCTACTTGGAGGCTGAGGTGAAGAATCATCTGAACCCAAGAGGTCAAGGCTGTGGAGATCACTCCAGCCTCAGTGACAGATAAGACCCTGACTCAAAATAAAAAATAAAAAACAAGTGAGACATCTCTAGAAAGCACAGAAGAATTTACTTTTAGTATCGCCCCATTTCTTCAAGCAGTTTTATGCCTGAATTACGAGTTACTTCTTAATTTCCTAGGGCCTTAATAGTTTAAGACCCTATTTTAAAACAAGACAGATAAACATTTGTCATAGCCTTGTGACAATATCTTCACTTTTAGTTTCTGATTCCAAACATAAAACATCCATGTGAAAGGAGTATATAGTGAAGGGGCTCAAATAGAGTTTTATATTCATAATGTTTTACATAGTTCAAGCCAAAAAGATGTTTTCAAGTTGGGACAGAGAAGTAAAGCTATACATTTACCAATACTATAAAGAGAAAATCACACCAACTTGAAAATGATAACTGCAGGGAATAGGACAGCAAAATTAGATAAATGGAGAGTAGAAAACACACTTAAGTAGGTAAGGTAGAAAGTAAGAAACAGAAACATACTGCATCACATGGTGAAGGTGACACATATTTTGAAGGTGGAAAAAGGTACAATAACTTGACTATCCACAATGCCCCAGAAACAAACAGAACCACAGAAAGGGCAACAAAATACATATTTATACCGAAACACAGCTAAAGAGCTCAAAAATAAGTAGCTGGGAAACTTATTATCTGTCAAAGACAAAGAAGGGTCTACAGAGAACAGCAACTGCATTTCAACTCCTTTTTCCGACATAAAAAGAACTGTTCTTTTCCTGACCACTCATAAAGTTTTCACACTATAAAAAAGAGAGAGATGTGAGGCCTTGGCTTTTCAAAATGAAAATAGCAGATTAAAGGCATATATATGTGTATGTGTATACACACATAAAAATATATATTTAATATATATTTATTTTAAATATGATTACACAACTAGGAGTTTACTCAAAGACTTATGGTAAGAAAATATCATAGAATGCTACTTTATATAAGAATATAAAAATATATGTTTAGGTTAACTACCATAAAGTCAAGAATACCTATACAAACATTCAGTAGCAAGACCATTGTTTTGCCTCTAGAGGGCAAACATGGTCTTCTGAAAAAAATCTAGACAAGAGAAGTTACTTTCAGACTTTTATCAGAAAATTTAAGATGTCACAACAATAGAGGTTCCCAACCTTTTCTTGGTTATCAATGCCCTTAGGGTCTCAGTTATTTATTCCATAGCAACCACTAAGCAAAAGAAATATCTAACGGTTCTGTCTTATAAGTAGCTGCGTCCAAATTAACAAAAATGTATATCCTAACGCTTAGTAACCATTTAAAAAGTAATACACATAAATCGAAAGAAAAATGTTCTATTTCATCCTTAAATAACCACAAATAATTACTAATTTGTCGGGTATGGCTGTTGTGTACTGTATACAATTTCTCAAACCTTGAGATCAGATTAGATAACACCCTCATTTCCAGTTTCACACTGATTTTTGCACAGTATCTGATTTTTATCACAGCAACCTCAGAAAAACCAGATTCACAAAGATATGATACCACAGAAAAGTATGCAGTGTCACTTAATGCTGGAGCTGTGCACTATTTCAAATTAAGAGTCTGCACCACATAATGGAGTATCACTAAGTTTGCCTCAAAATTTTAAATATTCCATGGGTCCCCTGTGCATTAGCTGCAGCACACCAGAGTGCCTGGCCACAGTTTGGGAATCATGGCACTATAGTTTTAAATCCTATTAAATAAGCAAACTATTCACTACTTGTAAATAAAATTAACTACAAGCCAGGCATGGTGGCAAGCACTTGTAGTCCCAGATTCTCAGAAGGCTGAGGCAGAAAGATCATTTGAGTTCAGGAATTCAAGTCAAGCCTGGGTAACATAGCAGGACTCAGGTTCTTCAAGAAATAAAAATTAAGAAAACTACAATCAAGTTTTTAAAGACCTAAAAATTATTTTCCTATATCACTTGGAAAATCAGTTTTTCTTTTGAGCAATGAAAGAAACACTGTTAAATTCCTAAAGGAAGTTTTTTTTCCAATCTGAACGATGACTGCTGCCCTAATGTGGTTATTTTTATAAATATTAATGTATTAAAACCGTAAACTACAATTAGAAAGAAGAAAAATAGGAAATGTATTATGTATCTCCTCCTGAACGATAACTTTGCTGAATTTTAAAACAATACAAACTGATTCAGTCTTACTGCTTTCCATTTGCACTATACTAGCATTGAGAAGCAGAAATCCAGGAGTCAAATAAGATCAGAAAGTCTTGAAAACTCAAGAATATAGACAAAAATAGGGATATTAGAAGAAATGGCTTCTAAATTACTAGAAACACATTATACACCAACTCTTCTCACTTATGAAGTTCTATTCTTTAAAAAAAAAAAAAAAAAAAAAAATTCACAGCCATACAGGATAAGAGAAAACATGTGGCCCGTTTTTCTAAAAAATTAGGTCATTATAAATATAATCCAAAAAATCAGCCAGGCGTGGTAGCGCATGCCTGTAATTCCGGTAACTTGGAAGGCTGAGGCGGAAGGATCGCCGGAGCTCAGCAGGTAGAGGCTGCGGTGGCCAGGAGCAGTCACTGCACTTAAGTCTGGGCGACAGAGTGAGACTCCAACTCAAAAAATATATATATATATATATAAATCCCAAAACTTGTATCTAGAAAAATAAGAATAAAAATGGAATGCTGTTAATTATAAAGAAAAAAATTGCTTCAAAAGCTAAGGCAAACTACTAGTATGTACTTACCTGCTGAATGATTTTAGAAGTTTTCTGAAGATTCTCTCTGGGAGGGACTTTACCAAATAATTTCCAACCAGGAGCACTATGGACAACTGATTTAAGTTCCTTTGTCCTTTTTGGAAAAAGGTTTCTGAAACAGAAAAAAGTTACACGAATTGTGGTTTTCTGTAACCAGAAAGCTATTTAACTATAATTTTTACAGTAAAATTATTCCCGAGACAAGTACAAAATACTTTTAAATAAAATTATTTCTACTACTTATGCCAATATTAAACTAACAAGACTCAATTAAGAACACCTGGCTTGGTCGGGTTCGGTGGCTCAGCCTATAATCCCGCGCTTTGGGAGGCCGAGGTGAATGAATTGCTTGAGCTCACGGGTTCAAGACCCGCCTTGGCAACTTGGCGAGACCTCATCTCTACAATAAATCAAAATAATAAGCCAGGTGTGGTAGTGCACGCCTATAGTTCCAGCTACTTGGAATGCTGAGGCGGAAGGATCGCCAGAGCCCAGCAGGTCGAGGCTGCAGTGGCCGGGAGTGGCCACTGCACTCCAGTCTGGGTGACAGAGTGAGACTCCAACTCAAAAAAAAAAAAAAAAAATACCTGGCTTATATAGAAAAATCACCAGAAACACTAAAAAGATAAATAAATTGGAAGAAAAATGACAGTCATAAACAAAACATAAATATTTGTTTTAAGTAAGTTACAAAGCATAATAGAATTGAATATAAATGCACTTTACAATAAAAGTCAAAAATTTGAGAACAAAAAAGTTTTTTGCTGTTGTTTTGTTTTGGTTTTTTTTTGAGTTGGAGTCTCACTCTGTCACCCAGACTGGAGTGCAGTGGCCGCTCTCAGCCACTGCAACCTCAACCTGCTGGGCTCCGGTGATTCTTCCACCTCAGCCTTCCAAGTAGCTGGAACTACAGGAGCACGCTACCATGCCTGGCTGATTTTTTGATTTATTGTAGAGATGAGGTCTCGCCAAGTTGCCCAGTCGGGTCTCGAACCCGCAGGATCAGGCAATCCACTCACCTCGGCCTCCCAAAGCGCGGGATTACAGGCTAAGCCACCAAGCCTGGCTTAAAAAAAGTTTTAAAAAATCTAATAGTTAAAGGATTAAAGGATACACTATTTGGAAGAATACTATTACTTACAGTAATAATTTGTTACTTTGAAATTAAAGTACATCTACTGATCCTCCCTCATTGCTTTAATATCTGTATATGCAAACTGTTTTCCTATGAGAGCTATGTACAAGAAATCTTATTGCAGGAGTCAATATATAATCAAGGAAGAAAGTATCTCACTGAAAAATCTTTAAATACCTGCAGAAGTATCAGAGCTTTTACTATTATCTCCATGTGCTAACCAACCAAATTAAACACCTAACTGTATATATAAGCAGGAATGATATTCGATATATGTACCCATCAAAACAATATGACCAGAGTCCCATAGGTCAATGAGAAAAGAAACTGATGAATCCAACTGATTTATCATCCCTTGTATAAGCTAAGATATAAATGGACATTAAGAAAATTTTACACTCGCACATACAATCAGTTAGGAACAGTTCCAAATCAGTTAAAGTCCCAAATAACTAGGTTTATCTACACTCAAATACCATACTAATATATCTTAGAAGTATAGCATGGTGATAACAGAAAATATATCTTTAACAAGTTTGTTAAGGGACTCCTCAAAAGAATGTGGGTTAATCAATAATAAAGAAAACAAACACTCTTATTTCCTTAGGTGTGCAATGGAAATAAACACATGACACTAGAATAATTTCTATTTAAGATACTCTGGAGGTTTCATCTCAGAGACCATGCATGACTTAACTCTTCATAGGATTACTAAACAGGCCGGGCTCGGTGTCTCAGCCTGTAATTCCACGCTTTGGGAGGCCGAGGGGAGTGAATTGTCTGAGCCCGCGGGTTCGAGACCCACCTGGGCAACTTGGTGAAACCTCATCTCTACAATAAATGAAAAAGTTAGTTGAGCATGGTAGCGCACGCCTGTAGTTCCAGCTACTTGGAAGACTGAGTGGAAGGATCGCCAGAGTCCAGCAGGTCGATGCTGCGGTGGCCGGGAGCAGCCACTGCACTCCAGTCTGGGCAACAGAGTGAGACTTCAACTCAAAAAAAAAAAAAGATTACTAAACAGTTGACAGTTTTCAATAATGAATATGCTGAGGAGTAGGAATACCTGTAAGAAACAATCCCAAGCCTCAAAGGATGGCCTATTAATTTAAGCAATGTTTGATATACTGTGCACTACTTATTACATGTGCACCCTTCTGCTATGTGACAACAGACAAAATATCTTCAAGTATTTCTCCTTTGAAACAAACATAAAACTGTTTAGCTTTCCAGGTAAAAGGCACCGGGGAACACTGAAGGAGAAAGAGCCTCTCCTGTGGTTTCCAGCTGCTGCACAGTGTGTCAGCAGTATAGGTATGAAGACATCCAGTAAAACTCTGCTCAGTCACATGTCCAGACTAAGCTCTTGGCGAACCTGCAGCCTCAGTCTGGGGATGGCTTTCCCGCAACCCTCTCAGCATGGAAACCGACCCTACCAAAGGTTTCCTGCCAACACCAGTGTACCAGTTCTCTATGCAAGTCCTACACAAGCCATGTGTATACACAATTCCACCAGACAGTTCTCACTATTATACCGTAGAGCCATATTCCCTCTACAACTCCCATGTGACCTGCCCTGCGCCCTAAAGGTTTCCCATCCTACCTACACTGGATATCCACAAATAAAATAATGAAGTTGGATCCTTATTTTCTACCACATATATATAAAACTAACTCAAAAATGTACCAACGATCTAAATTTAAGAGCTAAACATACAAAACTCTTAAAAGATAACAGGGGAAAAAATTTTCATAACTTGGATTTAGTATTGTTTTCTTAAGTATGACACCAAAACCACAGGCAACAAAAGAAAAACATAATCAAAATGGGCTTTTTTGTATCACAGGACACTTTAAAAAGAGTAAAAAGACAACTCACCAAAACATAAAAATATTTTCAAATCATAGATAAGAGTCTAGTATTCAGAATACCTAAAGAGCTCTTATGATTCAACAAAAATAAATAATAAATGAACAAACAACCCAATTAAAAATGTGCAAAGGACTTAAATGTTTCTTCAAAGATCTACAAATGGCCACTGAACACACGAAAAGAGACTCAACATCATTTATCATTTATCACCAGAAAAATGCAAATCAAAACCACAATGAGATATTACTTCACACTCACTAGGATTACTAGGATTACTGTCCTAAAACACACACACACACACACACACACACACACACACACACACACACACAGACACACACACAAAATAACAAATATTGGCAAGGATAGGAAGAAATTAGAAACAGCTGGCATGTAAAATGGTGCAGTAGTTGTGGAAAAGAGCTTGGCAAGTCCTCAAAATGTTAAACATATACATACAGTACTATATGACCCAGAAACTGCATTCCTAAATATTTACCCAACAAATTGAAATCAGGAACTCAAAACAAAAATACACAAATGTTCATAGCAGCATTATTCACAGTAGCCAGATGGTGGAAACAACTCAAGTGTTCATCAACAGATGGATAAACAAAATGTGGTATACACATATGTATGAACTGAATTGTGTCCAACCAAAATTCATATGTTAAAGCTATAGCCTTTAGTCCTTAGAATGTGACTGTATTTGGAGATAGGGCCTTTAAAGATGTAATTAAGGTTAAACGAGGTTATATGAGTGAGCCCTAATCCAATATACCTAACCTAGTGTTCTCCTAAGAAGAGGAGAGATGCCAGGGAACCAAGAGTACAGCAGAAAGGTCACACAGAGCAAAAAGGTCATCTGCAAGCCAAGGAGACCTTGAGAGAAACTAAACCCATAAACACCTTGTGTTTAGACTTCCAGCCTCCAAAACTGTGAAAAAATTAATTTCTGTTGTTTAAGCCACCCAGTCTGTGGTATTTTGTTTTCGCAGCCCTAGCAAACTAACACAACATGCTGAAATATTTTTCAGCCAAAAGAAAGAAAAAAGTTCTGATGGATGCTACAAATATGGATGAACATTGAAAATATTATGCTAAGTAAAATAATAAGTTAGACACAAAGAAACTAAAATTACATAATTCACTTATGCAAGGTATCTAAATTAGGCCAGTCATAGAAACAGAAAAATGGAATAGAGATTATCAGGGGTTGAATGAGAGAAGAATGGGAAGTTATTTCTTAATGGGTACAGCATTTCTGTGTGGGATGACAAGTTCTGAAAACAGACAATGATAGTGGTTGTACAACACTGTGAATATACTTAATGTTACTGAATTGCAAAATTGTACCTTAAAATGGTTTAAATGGTAAGTTTCATGCCATGTATATTTTACTACGATTTTTAAAATGCATCAGGAAAATTGAAAGATAAACTACAGCCTGAGAAATTAATTGCTCTACATATGTCTGAGAAAAGACTTTTAACCAAACAATAAAAAAGAACTCATTAAGAGTTCAGCTCATTAAGAGTTGCTAAAAAAGGAAAGGTAAAAGACTTGAATAGATATTTTACCCAAAACAGTATATTAAAAGCTAATATGCCACATGAAAAGATGCAAATCAAAACCACAATGAGATACCACTTCACAACCTCAAGGATAGCTATAATTTTAAAAATACAGACAATAAGAAGTGTGTAGAAATCAGAATTCTCACCCATTGCTGGTAGGAATGTTAAAGAGTGTAGACATTTGGGGAAATAATTTGGTAGTGTTTAAAAAGGTAAACAGACCGGGCTCGGAGGCTCAGCTTGACATCCCAGCACTTTGGGAGGCCGAGGCGAGTGGACTGCCTGAGCCCGCGGGTTTGAGACTAGCCCAGGCAACTTGGTGGGACCTTGTCTCTACAATAAATCAAAAATGAGCCATGCAGGGTAGCACGCACCTATAGTTCCAGCTACTTGGAAGGCTAAGGTGGAAGGATTGGCAGTGCCCAGCAAGCTGTCGCTGAGGCGGCCTTCAGCATGCCATTCACTGCACTCCAGTCTGGGCAACAGAGCGAGACTCCAACTCAAAAAGAAAATTAAAAAGGTAAACA